CCCCCTAGGGCACCGAAGAAGGGTTCAGATCTTCGGAAACTGACCATATGGCCTGTGTTGAGCCCCCAACCGCTTCACCGTGAGCCCTGCCTCCCAATGAATGAACCCATAAAAGCGTTTAGGCTTGGGATGTTCCCCCTTATACTAACAGTCCTGAATAGGGTTTTCAATAGGGGTGGGGGGGGTACGATAATCCCCATGGACTGTTAGTATAGGGAGGAACATCCCAATTTTAAGGTTAAGGCTGTTGGGTTTTGGTTCAGGTTCCTAAAGACATGCTGGAATTACTAAAAATATTCAATGCCCTCTACCCTAAGCTGACGATATACATCAATATACGGATGTCGATACACATGGTTTTTTTTAGGGTTTAGGTTTCGCTCCCGCCCATGATGGTGGCCATCAGGATTCTATGAGGTGCCCTGTTAAAGCCTGAACCTGAAACCTTGAGAACCATATGAATTGGGATGTTCGCCCTTATGCTAACATTATCATCCCAATTAAGGACTGTTAGTATAAGGGGGAACATCCCAAGATATCAGCCCTAAACCCTTGAACATGATACATCCCTAAGCTCGCCAACCTATAAACCCTCAGCACCCTCACCAGGACTACTTGCTAACCCCCTAAACCCAAACCCTAAACCCCCTACCCCCCAGAACCCTAAACCCTAAACCCTGAAACCCTAATCCCCCTAAACCCCAAAACCCAAACCCGAAACCCTAACCCCCCCCCCCCCCCCCCCCCCCCCCCAAACCCTAGACCCAAAACCCAAAACCCAAAACCCAAACCAAACCCTAAGCCCTGCCCCCTAAACCTTAAACCCCCTATAAACCCTACAGAGTGAAGGGCTGAGCCCATGTCTTCGACAAACCCCGAACGATCTGAGCTGAGGAGTTCCGACCAAGCTCACACCTGAGCCGAAGGGAGTCGGATCGCTCCGCCGAAACCGTGGGGAGTAGGGTTTTGAGGGTCCCGAAATCTTAAACCCTAAACCCAAAACCCAAAACCCTAAACCCTAAACCCGCAGGGTTTTGGGGTTTCGCGACGAGGGGTTTAGGGCTAGCCGCATGGTCGGCTGTGGTGGACACGGCGTGGCCCGGAAAAAGTTTTGCAGGGGGAGACGCGGCTGCTTTGGTTCTTTTGTTGCGAGGACCTCCCACCTGGTGACTTTTGGGCTTAGAGCGAGGGTTTGGGGTTGAGGGCTTAGGGCTTAGGGTTTAGGGTTTAGGGTTTAGGGTTTAGGGTTTAGGGTTTAGGGCCTTGGGCCCCGAGAATCGACCACAAATTTCCAGGCCTCTAGCTAAGAATCCCACCAGGGCAGTTCTCTACATTAGGTTTGTTGTTTGGGTCTTTCCAGGGTGCTGCACTGTATCAAGGACCCAAAGAAGGGGCCCTGTTTCGGAGAACTATTCAAGGGGTTCTACCTAAACCCTAGCCCTAAACCCTAAACCCTAAACCCTAAACCCTAAACCCTAAACCCTAAACCCTAAACCCTAAACCCTAAACCCTAAACCCTAAACCCTAAACCCTAAACCGATAGATTCATATGACAACCCGACTTCGGGGTTCGCACGTTCGACCCTGCACAGGCGGATTTGATTTTTCCGGGCTTTGGGGTTGAGGGTTGGCTTGCAGGGTAAGGGTTTAGGGTTTAGGGTTTAGGGTTTAGGGTTTAGGGTCTAGGGTCTAGGGTCTAGGGTTTAGGATGCATGCTGCAATCGGCTCTTTGTTTTCAGGCCTTCTCTGCCCCTGCTTTAAGAGCTCCTCTCTTGAGCCTTTGAGCCGCAAACACCCTCAACCCTGCTAAATCCTACAAATTCCAACACCCTAAACCCCAAACCCTAAACCTAAACCCTAAACCCTAAACCCTAAACCCTAAACCCTAAACCCTAGACCCTAGACCCTAAGACCCTAAGACCCTAAACCCTACACCCCACCCACCCCCTCCAAAGTCGCAAGCCTCCACAGACCTGACTCCCGGAACCGAGCCCTTGCAAAGGTTCCGCGTTCTCCTCGAGGCCTTCTGCCCCCCTTTGAAGGGCTTAAGGGCTCGTAGCGTTTTCAGGGTTTAGGGTTTAGGGTTTAGGGTTTAGGGTTTAGGGTTTAGGGCTCGAAGCATCGGCCCTTAGTTTGGGGGCCCCTTATATACACTTCCATGTGCTAACAGCACATACTTCGGATCCTTATACACCAGGGTAAGGGACCATACTAAGGGCCCATGCTTCAAAGCTTAGATAACGGGCTTAGGGCTTAGGGCTTAGGGCTTAGGGCTTAGGGCTTAGGGTTTAGGGTTTAGGGTTTAGGGTTTAGGGTTTAGGGTTTAGGGTTTAGGTCAACTCTTGCGGGCTTCCCTACACACCCCAACTTGGTAGCCCAGGTGGTACCCGTTGCCCTTTTTTTTGCGTTCTGGGTTCCCTTATGAAAGTAGCCAACCCCCCAAAAAGGTAACCATCTACAAGATGGCTACTGGGCTACCAAGCTAAAATGGGTTGTTTACAATAATAAGGGACCCCTAGTATAGACCCCCAAACATAGTAGGACCCCGATGAGGCACCCCCAATATCGTAAACCCCCAAATGGATTGCTTAAAGGGTTTAGGATCTAGGGTTTAGGGTTTAGGGTGCTGGTCCTGGGTGGGTAAGAGTTTTGGCCGGCTTAGGGGTGTCCTCCCGCCGGGAGGTCCAGGAACAAAACTCCCTGCTTCCTGTAAGCCCTAAGCCCCAAGCCCTAAACCCCTAAACCCCTAAACCCCGAAACCCTAAACCCTAAACCCCTAGCCTATTGCAATATGGCAGGAGCCACAGGGCGGTGCGAAGTTCGATGAGTCCACGGATGGAGGCAGACCTTGGGAACGAGAAGTTGTTAGGGGTTAGGGTTTAGGGTTTAGGGTTTGGGGTTTGGGGTTTGGGGTTTAGGGCCTAGGGCTTAGGGCTTGGGATTTTTGTTCTGTGGGGGGGGGGGGGGGGGGTGTTTTGTACCATACACACATGAAGACCCGAAGGCCGCTTGGGTAGGGTATCTTCAGTGGTTCTGCGAAGGGAGTTCGGAATTTCGGAATTTAGGGGTTAGGGTTTGGGAGCTTCGGAGACTGTCAGGTTAACAGGGTGGTTTCCTGCCAAGAGCCAGTAGGGTATTCTGCCCTAAACCTAAAGAAGGCCCTCAACCTGCAGTAAAGTCCAGAAAGTTGGAACATGGTTGAAGGATGATTTTGAGCTGGGATTCCCTTTCTAAACGGTTTAGGGTTTAGGGTTTTGGGGTTTAGGTTTAGGGTTTAGGGTTTAGGGTTTAGGGTTTAGGGTTTAGGGTTTAGGGTTTAGGGTTTAGGGTTTAGGGTTTAGGGTTTAGGGTTTAGGGTTTAGGGTTTAGGGTTAGCCCAAAGCGGTATCCTTCTAGCGCAGCCGAGTTCCAAGAATTCACGTGACTCCTCGACACCCTGAACCACCCCTGAACCCTCAACCCTCAACCCTCAACCCTCAACCCTCAACCCTCAACCCTCAACCCTAAACCCTAAACCCTAAACCCTAAACCCTAAACCCTAAACCCTAAACCCTAAACCCTACACTTCCTAAACCCTGGAGGTGATGAGAACTGTATCTTGACAGTCTTCATCCGCTCCGATGTGGCAGGGGCCCAACTCCTTAGCGTTTAGGGTTTAGGGTTTAGGGTTTAGGGTTTAGGGTTTAGGGTTTAGGGTTTAGGGTTTAGGGTTTAGGGTTCAGGGTTCAGGGTTCAGGGTTTAGGGCTCAACGCTCTCCGCACCCGCCCCTCAGGCCCCCCTCAAAAAAACAGCAGTACCAACATTTTCAGAACATACAACAAGCAAAACACGTAGTGAATGCTAATATACATCACAAATCATTTCAGAATATTGAACTACTTGAAGCCTTCAGTGTTGAGGAGTCTATTTCGGATGTTTCGGGTTGGAGTTTAGGGCCCTCTGAGGGTTTGGGTTTAGGGCTGAGGGTTATATGCGGTGTAGGCATCTTAGCAAGGCACGTGCCGCTGCCCAGCCGTGCCTGTGGTAACACCCATGCCTGCAACACGTCAGCAGCCCGAAATGAACTGAAGATCAAAGGTGTGACTGCGTTGCGGAAGAAGCTTCAACCACAAGCCTTAACCCTAAACCCTGAACCCTAAACCCTAAACCCTACAAACCCTACACCTAAAGCCTAAACTAAGCCCTAAACCCTAAACCCTTGAGTCGTGGGTCTTGGCTTCAAGCTCCTTGCCAGCTGGGCCCAGGTCATTCGCGACCCCATCGACAAGATCAAGAGCACCCTCGCCGTGCGATGGGCTGGCGGCTCAGAACGCTGGCCGCTTGAGGGGCTTGTAGGTTTAGGCTTCAGGGGTTAGCGGTTCAGGGGTTTAGGGGTTGAGGGGTTTAGGGGGTTTAGCGTCAGAGGTTTATAGGGTTTCTGTTGGGGTGTATAGGGCCTTATAGGGGTTTTTGGAGTTTATAGGGGGTTAAAGGGGTTGAAGGGGTCTATAGGGGCTGGGTTTCAAGAGGTTTATAGGGGGTTGTAGGGGTTTAGAGGTTTTTCGGGTTGTAAAGGGGTTTGCAGGGGTTTTGAGGGGTTTAGGGCTTATAGGGCCACGGCCACGTGGCATTTGCTTGCAAGCATCACGGGACATTGAGATGTAAGGGAGGCCCTCAACCGTAAACCCTCAACTAGGGTTTGTCTCCCCTTCCCTCACCGCGTGCGTGCGCGCGTGTGTACCCTCAGATGTGTTCGGATTCGATGTCGGTACTACTGTATATTCAAGAGGTGTCGCCTGCTTCATCCGCCCGTCGTTCGTCTTGTACTTCCTGGCCGGTCGCGTCCTTTCCTTTCCCCGGCGGTGGCAGCTTCCTCTTTGAGGCTGGCTGATTATGGGTTTAGGGGGGTTTAGGGTTTAGGATTTAGGGTTTAGGGTTTAGGGTTTTCTAGTGATGCACCCTAACCCCAGAGCCCTGACTGTGAGCATGCTAAGAGCGGGTAGTGACGTGATAGTCTGCCATGGTACTGTCTTCGATTTTCCGAAGATCTTTCTCAGTATGCGCGGCCTTGGCACCACATACCCAAACGTTGGCGAACAGATCTGCGGCTTTGACTGCAAGAGGCTTCTCGGTGCTCGCAGGAGGTGAGTCGGTATGGTCAAAGGACGTTCAGGAGGTCGCCAATATCCGGCCTCCCAGCGTGCATCTGGTTTCTGTCACAGACTACGTGCAGTTTCTGATGGGCACATGTGGACGTGGAAGGCTGCAGTTGTACCGCTTGCACCTGCCGACGAGAGTTTGGGGCCTCCTACATTGGAAGATGCTGACATCCCAAGGGTCCGTTCTGCTTGAATCGAGGAAGGTGGCTGTGTTCAGTTTGGGTTGCCTCGCTGTCCAACCGAATACCTTGGCCGTGCGATCACCATCCCCTTCTGTCTGCCAAGAAGAAGGCCCGAGCACATTGTCTCAGAAGAGTTCACTCATTCAGGCGTCTCCTCGCCTGGAAGCTGTGGGCGAAAAGCACCAACTGAAAAAGAAGATCATCATGCAAAATCTGCTTATGGCGATCGGGATGGTCCTGCTGTGGCAGATGCTAGGGACTTGGAACTTGGTGGCCTTGGCAGCTCTCCTGGCAGTTCTCCTGCCAGTGCTGGCGGTCCTTCTCGTCAACGCATATCAAGGGCAATTGGCGTTGATCGTGTTAAGGGATGCACTTAAAGATGCACTTAAATCCGTGCCGTTGGTCGTGGGAGAGGGCGTGAGAACGGTGCTGAACACCGAACCTGCTCAAGTCCTGGGGGCTGGTTTCCTGACTGTGCAAAGTCATTTCTGGTTATCTGTCTGGGAAGGGGCGGGATACCGTGCAGCTGGCCCTGCTGCATTTGTGATTAAGCTGTTGTTTGTAGCGTTTGCTCTGGACCGGGTCTTCATTTCCAGGATCAAGGAGCCATCCTTGGCAGACATTGCGGAGCTCGTTGTGGCCGATGCGTATGCCGTTCCGCCTGGCAGACAACAAGAAGCGGCGAAGACTAGGAAGGACATGGCTCAGCGCTTGGTGTCTGCACTAGAAATCCTAGCAGCCTTGATCGCCACTTGCATGCTACGTTACGCCGGCAAGAAAGTGACAGAACTGGCCATGACAGAACTGGCCAAGAAGATCGTACAACCTGCGGTGCTGTTCAGCATTCCTGCAGCAATGGGCTTGTTTGTGGCGGAGGTCCTCCCTCTTAGCAAGGCTCACTTGCAGGTGGAAGATGCGGAGCTCTCAATGTACTTCCTGGGTGCTTACCAAAGCGGTGGGGTTCTCCAAAGCACCAGATACGACAATGATTTCGTTGATTTTGAGATCCCAGTTTTCAAGCTGAAGACAGACCGGATCTTTGTATCTAGCTTCCCTTTGGATCTCAGGGAGCTGTGTGCATCAGAAGAATGTGATCGCGACGATCTTCTGGTTCTTTACCACTACACGGACATGAAAGGCTTCAGGAATATTGCAAATTTCGAGCAGACTTCAGCCCAGATTTTCTCTTCCTTGGCAGATGAGCGTGCCCACTTTGGAAAAGGCGTTTACGCGACGCAACATGAACCTGCTGTTTGGGGCAGCCGGCAGCGTGTCCTGCTGAACAATTACTCCAACGGCGACCCACTCAGGGCGATCCCCGTGGAGAAGGCACTCATTCGGTGGGGCCTTGGCAATCCTGAGGGGCACAGGGCAGCATTCTGCATCCCAATGATAGTACCCAAAGCAATATCCTACAACATTTTCCAGCGTCAGACACCAGAATTAGAAGCGCGTGGTGTTGCATTGGGGGCGGACTACAAAGGGCGAGCTGTGCACAAGAGCAGGGACGTGTTTGTAGTCAGGGCCCTCGATAAACAGCAACGGGTGGGGCATCTTGCAACCAAGACCGACAGTATTATTGCAGTTCTTGACAAGCGGCTGGCCTTTTTGCAAGAAAGCATTGGTAGCCATGCCCAGTTGACTCTTGAAACTCTGGATGAAAAGGCCCGGAGACTTCGGGGCCGAGGTAGGCTTCAGGAGGCGGAGCTTCTGTATCGAAGATCCCTTGAAGGAAGGCGTCAAACCTTCGGAGATCTGCACAGCACCACCCTTGACTGCATTTTCTGTTTAGCCAACCTCTTGGTTGAGAGGGGGAGGTTCGCTGAAGCTGAGCTGCTCTTCCAGGAAGCACGAGAAGGCTTCCAACAGACGATGTTCGGTTTCTTACACCCAAAGGCTTTATTTGCATCAAGGTACCTTCAGCACTTGCGCAACAAAAGAGAGCATTCTCACGGCCAGATCTGGAAGCCAGGTGAGTCAATGCCAATGTGGTCGTTTCGAAACACACTTCAGAAGCTGGATGCTGGCTGGAGGAAACTTGGCACAGAGGAGCAGGCCGAACACTTATCTTTGCGCCGCAAAGAATTGGGTGAAGCCCATCCCGAAACCCTTCATGCGAAAGTCCTCATGGCCACCAGCCTTATGGACGATGGAGAGCTTGGTTTGGCAGAGACAATGTGTCACGAGGCTTTGCGCAGCCTTCGCGACAAGGTTGGCCTCTCGCATCCACGGACGGTCCAAGCCACAAAGACCATGGCCCTCATCTACCAACAACGATTTGAAGCTCAAGGCTATACTATGTATGAGGCAGAGCGGCTGGCAGAGGAACGGGTGGATCATGACCTCGAGCTGCTGCCCTGAATTTCCATCCGCTTCCTTCCGAACCACCAAGAACGTGGCAGACACCGTGTCTGCGTCCGGGTGAAAAAAATTAACAACGCTGAGGCCTTGGCAGCACGCAAGCCCCGTCTCTGGGAGTTGAGATTTTGAGCACGCGCTGCTCTTTTTGTGTTGGGGGTTGCGGGTTGAGGCTTTCGTCTTGCACAATTTGGGTTTTAGAGTTTCAAGGTTTCAGGGTTTCAGGGTTTGAGTGTACCTTGAACTGAAGACCCAGGCCTGAACCATCCTGAAGCCCAAACCGAAAACCCCGAAACCGAAACCGAAACCCACAAGGCAAGTCACAGCAAACTAGCAAAACACTGAAACCGGAAATCTTTTTACAGGAGTCACTCAAACCAGAAAGTAATTACCCCCCCCCCCCCCCCCCCCCCCCCCCCCCTGCTCCCAACCCACCCCCACCCCCCTCCCCCCCCCCCCCCCCCCCCCCCGGCAAGCCCAAGACCAAAAAGAAGCAGAAAAGCAAGGAAACAAAGCGAGGCGGCGTCAGCAACAACTCTCCAAAACCATCAAAACCCTAAACACAAAAACTGAACCCCTTTCAAAACTGCGAAAGCCCAAACAAAATAAGCACTGAAATCCCCCATACACTCTTACCCTCTGAACCCTAAACCCTAAAACCCTTGGAGCCTTTGATTCCCTACCGCACCCATGTGCCACAGGCGTGCCTAGACCTTAATATCTACATAGACTCCAGATGGGATCCCATAATTAGAGAACGGAACTTGCTATGTGATGTTCTGATTGCATGACCACCCAATTCGGACATTTGCTGGGGGCCCGCAGGTGGCTTGTACGTGCCGCTACACAGTGCCGATTCCAGCTGTAGCCCGTGTGAATTTACCGGAGTCATGTGCCACCCTCAACCCTCAACCCTCAACCCTCAACCCTAAACCCTAAACCCTAAACCCTAAACCCTAAAGGGTTCATGGTTTAGGGAAACCCTAAACCCCCAAACCGAAGCGAACTGGAGGACCGCGCCAAGACCGGCAACGTCAACTGGGGCAACCAGTTCAAGGACTGAGGGTTTAGGATTTGGGCTTTTGTTGGTTACGGGGTGTGTGGGGGGGCTGTCGGCTCTTTTCTAGAGCCTGCCTAAACTCTCAGCTGCTCATTAGGGTTTAGGGTTTAGGGTTTAGGGTTTAGGGTTTAGGGTTTAGGGTTTAGGGTTTAGGGATACAACGCATTCAAGCGTAGCCCGCATACAAGGTCGACAAGATAGACATCCGCCCACAAGCTATAAACGAAGACAAGCTGTTCCGTCAGCTCAGGGCTTGCAACCGCTGATGTTAAGCCTTCGCCTGTGCGCCCCAAATCCCGTAAAGGAGATGCCCGAAGAGAAAGGATTTAGGAGATATAGACCTTGTGCAGTCCCTATTCTCGAAAGTAGCCCCTAAAATGCTCTGAAGAACCGCTATAGGGTCCCTTAGAAGGGTCCCTCCAATAGTCCCTTGCCCCAAATACATGCCCCAGGATGCGCTCTTCAATGTGTACGGCGATGACGACGATGACGCAGAAGAGGAGCCCGGGAGACCACTTGAAGGGGTTGGCGCATCCGACAGCCCTGAGAGAATTTGTTGGGTGTCACCATGATAACCCTAAACCCTAAACCCTAAACCCTAAACCCTAAACCCTAAACCCTAAACCCTGAACCTTATGGTTCTTGGGATGTCTTCAATTCCGAAACTCCGGCATGGCCTCGACAAGAAGGGAATTTCGGCACGTGGGGTGTCGGGCAAGGGAGCTTGGTCACCAGGTTTAGGGTTTAGGGTTTGGGTTGAGGGTTGAGGGTTGAGGGTTGAGGGTTGAGGGTTGAGGGTTGAGGGTTGAGGGTTGAGGGTTGAGGGTTGAGGGTTTAGGGTTTAGGGTTTAGGGTTTAGGGTTTAGGGTTTTCTGAAGGTACCAGAAGACCGAAAATCACTTCCTAAGCGTCCATGTGCCCTTTCGTATATACTTGGGCCTTAAACTGGGTCTTGGAGTACTATTTTGTTCCGATTATTGCTAGTTATCCCTAAAAAGTATATACTTTTTTCCAGGGTCTACTCCAAAGCTAAGTAAAGGTTCCCTTTCAGGCCCAAGTAGATACTATATGGGAACATGGACCAAAAGGGACAACAACCCTGAGCACTAAATTGAAAAACCCTAAACTTAAAACCCTCAACCCTAATGCTCAACCCCAAACCCTAAAGCATATACCCTAATTATACCCTAAGCCCTAAACCCTAAACCCTAAACCCTAAACCCTAAACCCACTTGCAACCAGGCGGAGGAAAGATCCAAAGGACAGATAGCGTCCGCATGGGTGGCTCCCTCGGAGTTCTTGGAGGTTTAGGACTCCAAAGCCCCGGAAACCCTAAGCCCTAAACCCTAAACTCAAACCCTAAACCCTAAACCCTAAACCCTCAACCCTAAACCCAGGGTTTTGAGTTCTGAACGTGCGTCTTAGAGTGTTGTGAGACTGGGGAGCCGGCAGCCTGCATGTCAGCATTTCGGAACCGCTTCTAGTCCCTATATAACGAAACCCGAAACCCGAAACCCGAAACCCGAAACCCTAAACCCTAAACCCTAAACCCTAAACCCTAAACCCTAAACCCTAAACCCTAAACCCTAAACCCTAAACCCTAAACCCTAAACCCTAAACCCTAAACCCTAAACCCTAAACCCTAAACCCTAAACCCTAAACCCTACCTTTAATACAGGCCACCCAAGCTACCACAAAATATCCTTGCCCGTAGAATCGAGTTGCATCGGCCAATTCTTGATACAGGACAAGGGGGGTCGTTGGAGAGTCTCTGGAGTCTGCCAAGATTAGGGTTTAGGGTTTAGGGTTTAGGGTTTAGGGTTTGGGTTTTGGGGTTTAGGGTTTAGGGGTTCGAAGTTCGGGGGCCTCGTTCCTGCCACGTTGAACTACAAGGTGTTCCTGGCTTCTTTATCAACACGACCCCCTGAACCTTAAGCCCTAAACCCCGAACCCTAAAGCCTAAACCCTAAACCCTAAACTCTCAACCCTCAACCCTTAACTGTTAACCCTTAACCCTTAACCCTAACCACCACCACCACCCCCCAAAAAGAAACACCAAAGAAAAAAACAAAGATAATAAAACACAAAGAAGCAATCACAGCGGCATCTCTGGCCCAGGCTTTCCACATCATCCAGCTGCCGGGAACTCGCAGGGGTTTAGGATCTGAAGTTTCGAGTTTCGGGTTCTGAGAAACTTTCTTCAACCCGATCCCCTAAACCCGGGTTTAGGGTTGCTAGGGGTTGAGGAGGCGGCGGCGGTAAAAGAACACCGCCCCTGCAAACTCCTGTGACTCTGGGCTCTTTAAGGGCCACCTTAGATCTGCGGCCATGTTGGGCGCGTTTTGGGCTTCATGAGTAAGGAAAAGCAGTTTCCTTGAGCCTGGTGCCAATTCTTAGGGTTCAGGGTTTAGGGTTTAGGGTTTAGGGTTTAGGGTTTAGGGTTTAGGGTTTAGGGTTTAGGGTTTAGGGTTTAGGGTTTAGGGACAGTGCTGCCAAGCCACAACCCTACAAAAATACTCATCAAAAGCTCAAAAGCTCCGGGCTTCGAGTTTACCTGAAGCTTTTGGGATAGCAGGCACTTAGTCTGAAGAACCCTACACCCTAAACCCTAAACCCTAAACCCTAAACCCTAAATCCTAAACCCTAAACCCTAAACCCTAAACCCTAAACCCTAAACTAGGCAACCTTCGGAACTCAGTAACAAAGAACGAGCTCCTCTTGAGCCTTCAGGCCCGGTCTGGATTATCTTACCCCCAAAGCCCCACGTTTCCAAGGGTTCAGAGTTGAGGGTCTAAGTAAGACCCTAATTAAACCCTGAACCCTAAACCCTAAACCCTAAACCCTAAACCCTAAACCCTAAACCCTAAACCCTAAACCCTAAACCCTAAACCCTAAACCCTAAACCCTACAGCCCAGGCCATGGAAGGTCCTCTTCGCCTTCATCCCACCCACCGACTATTGCGGAGGCGGAGCCCAAAACGGGCTCTCCTTGGGATGGTTTAGGGTTTAGGGTTTAGGGTTTAGGGTTTAGGGTTTAGGGTTTAAGGGAACCCGAAACCCTAACAGCCCCAATGCCCAAAACCCCTCAACAACTTCGGGTTCAGGGGGTTTAGGGCTTGGGGTTTAGGGTTTGGGGTATAGGGTTTAGGGTTTAGGGATTCAAGTCTGTGCCTGTGTCTTATAGGGTCTTGAGAGGATGTGGCATTCTTTCAAGCACCCCTAAACCGGCTATAGGTATGTTTAAGGGGGATGGGTCTTGCAAAGGGACCTCTGTTCAAGAGCACGGCTGTTCCAAAATTTAGGGTTCGGGTTTAGGGATAACAGTTTATGGTTTAGGGTTTAGGGCTTGGGGAATCCTAAGCCCTAAGTTCTATACCCGAAACCCTACTGTCTAATTCCTAAACCCGGATGCTGCGGGCAGGTTGGGTATGCTTCTGCACCTCGCTGATGTTCATCGGCCAGGCTCCCAGGAGATTCCGCCCTCGACTTGGATCGCTTGGGGGCCCCTAAACCCTAAACCCTAAACCCGGAGCTAAGAAACCAAGGAGTTTGGCACCCACCTCGCCCTCAAGCCTGACCCCAAGAGGGCGAGAGGCCCCCATATGCCCAGCACGCCTCAAGAAACTCAAGTCGAACAAGGTTTAGGGTTTAGGGTTTGAGATTCAGAGTTTAGGGTTTAAGGTTTGGGGTTTAGAGTTTAGGGTTACTGCTTCTTGGAGGGTTTTCTTTGCAGGTGCCCCCCCCCCCCCCCCCCTCCTCCTCCTCAGTGAGATCCTCAAGCATAAGATTTTGGGTTTCTGACAAGAGTTTCGGCTTCGGGGGGGCGGGGGGGGCTTCGGGATCAGCCCCAAACCCTAAACCCTAAACCCTGAACTTCGGAATCGGCTTCTTCACTTCGCCCTGAGTGCGCCACATGCAACGCACTTATAGGGCCCGCAATACG